TAACAAACATAAAAAAGAAGATGGGGAGATAAGGACGATAGATGTCTCATAGGAAAGAAGAAGCAAAGCACACCAGAGCACCCGCCAACCACCCACTAGTTCTAGTTTGATAACGAGTAGCACTTCCGTCTCCACGATAACGGTTGATTAGTGGTTAGCACTAGAAAGGGAAAGAGCAAGACAAGACAATAGATAGTAGAAGTAAGAAGCAACCAGCTTGTTTGTTGTTGCTTTCTTTTGGACAACACAATAAGGTCATAGATCTACAAGTGCCGAAGATTAGAGGTGTTACAAGAGAGTAACATACACAAAAAAAAGGAGGAGAGATAAGGAGACAGATGTTTGATAGGAAAGAAGGAGCAAACCACACCAGAGCATCCGCTAACCACCTACTTAGCAAGAGTTTTATGACACTTACAACACAGTAGGTCATATAAATGCCGGAGATTAGGGGCGTGGCAATACTGTGTTATCCTAAAGTACCATACAAAGAAAAGAAGGAGGGGAGACAATGCAATGCTAGTACGAAAGATGATTGATTTGAGAAATTGTCAGGGACAGAGGACTGAATGGCAATCTCTGGTGAAAGCCGTACACACAACATTGTTTAAAGAGATTTATTATGACAATAAAGTACCAAAGGCATGAGCCTGGATCAGAGAACATTTGGCCGCTTTTAAGCACAAGGGAAATAAAAAGGTGAATTGGTATAGGTTTAACGCCCCTATCAACACTATTAGGTTATTTAAGGGGCGGGACCTCCTAGTTTAACGTCAGTCTCCGATAGGACCGAGCCAAGTGGAAAGTTCGTGTAAAGTGCCTTTCCCAAGGACACAACGTCGGACCGAGCTGACGCTCGAACCCCCGAACTCGCAATCTCACGATTACGAGTCCGGTAGCCTAACTACTAGACTACCGACGCCACTTAAGCACAAGGGGGCTATCCTGAAAAATGCTGTTTTGAGAAAATCGAATGTAAAGTTTTTCTACCCTTGTTCTGTTTCTTTAAAAGACGATGAGAGTTAAACGAAACTGAACAATGGACAAAAACTTTACCTTCGATCTTCTCAAAACAGCATTTTTCGGGATAGCCCTCTAGTGCTTAAAAGCAAACATTTAATGTATTGGCCTTATTGAACAGGGACCGTGTCATCACATAGGGGAAAAAAAAGCACGAAGGAAAGTGAGATGTGTTTGTTTGTAATAGATAATAATAGAGATAGCATTTGTATAGCGATTATAGCGCAAATCCCCGCTCAACAGCAAGCTCTCTATGCGCTTCACAATCTATATTATTACCCCAGCAGACCTGAGAACATTCTGAAACAATCTCAACTTCCTGGGAAGCATACAGTGCAAGCGGCCATTTATAGGTGCTAAAACACTAACATATTGACAACATCTTCCGCTGTCTATGGCCAGGTACCCATTCCCACCTGGGTGAAGTGAGGAAAATTCATGTAAAGTGCCATTTCAAAAGGACACGTGTCGGAACCGAGGCTCAAACTCCCGAACCCGCAATCTCACTATTACGAGTCCGGTAGCTTAACCACTAGGCCACCAACGCCACAGATGGTTGTCAGAGCAGACTTGGCTGTATTCATCAATACACGCTAACAGACTACACTGTTACATTTTACGCCACCAACAAATCCCCCCCTCCCCCCAAAAAAAACCCCCACCATCCCAACATTGACCCATTTTCACGCCCATAAAACGGCAATAAATAATCCGGACTATGTAATAATAATTGTCAACAAAAACCCATCCCTGCCGGATAGTGATTCAGTCCTCTGAATGGATCGACAAACCTCATATCATACATTTACCTCAATGACTGGACACTCACGTGAAAGCTAATACTATAAAGAATATATTATAAGGCAACAGTCATCGCTACATTGCCAATGTCTATAAAAGAGGTTACAACTAGACCTAGACAACTGAGTACATTTGTGACAATAAATTATTTTTCTCTGGCTACCGGGACAGAAGTTAGCACTTTTATTAAACCGATTTTGATATTGATTCTGTTTGCACTTATAATTCATACAATAATTTAAAAAAACAAGCTAGGCCAGTAAATAGGTGAGCACGTTAAAGGACACAAAAAGTCATATTTACTGAACATATGTACAGGATAGGAGGAGAATAGGTTTTAGTTTTAGCAAGAGTTTTACGGTACTTACAACACAAAATAAGGTCATGATATAAGTGCCGAAGACTAGATGTGTTTCAAGAGAGTAACATACACAAAAAAGGAGAAGGAGATATAAGGACAATTGATGTTTTATAGGAAAGAAGGAGCAAACCACACAAGAGCACCCGCCAACCACCCACTTAGGAGCATATAATATGCTTTATTTGTCAAAACTTGACATTGCACGATTCTCAACCCATTAGTCAGGCAATCTACCCTCTAAGACACCTCATTATAAAAAGGGGAAAGTTAGTTTTTAAAGTTTTAGTAAAGGTTTTACGGTGCTCGCAACTGCATAAAAGGTCATATGAGCGCCAGAAGATTAAAGCTGTTACAAGAGAGTAACAAACATAAAAAAGAAGATGGGGAGATAAGGATGATAGATGTTTGATAGGAAAGAAAAAGCAAACCACACCAGAGCACCCGTCAACCACCCACGGGAAAGTTATATATATTACAGTAAAAGTAAAACCTTGATAACACAAACTTCAAGGGACCAGAACATTTCTTTGTGTTTGCAGATTTTGTGTTATTTATTAAAGGGAGTTGCATTGCACAGAACAAAAAGAAAGAAGAAAAAAAAAAACTCCCAGGGGTTTGACATCCTTTCGTGGTAACAAAAATGTTGTATTAAACAGTCTCCTGTTTATACGGCACGGTCAAACAAGCTTTAACAGGTCAGTCACCTCTGCCCAAGATAATCATCGGTACAAATGACCACTTTCCACCTCGCATTTCTGTGATATAATTATAATGACACTGTCCAGAACATCATCCTGTCTAAGACAACACCACTTTTCTCTTCGTGGACGGTCACCTTACATAATTTCGACTGTATTTAGAACAAACATAGCCAAGGAATAAAAATTGTATGAATAGGTCAATGATATAACATTCTCAAAAAAGCTTGCAACTTAATTTGCATTTCCTTGACAAAATCAGTAGAAGATCTATACTGTTTCCACTGTTACTGTTAACCACACCATTTCTTTAAAATTACATTACAACAACAAATTATTGACCTTTGCCAACCCTTCAAACTTCAAACCTTGCCCCCCCCTCCTCTCGCTCCCCATTCAGACAAAAAGGAGGATACTTTTTTTTAAAGGGGGGTGGGTGGTAGAGCATAAAAAGTAGAGAGTTCTGTTAATAAGTATTGGTGTAAGGACGACAAGAAGAGTTTCCAGGCCTGTAGCGGTCCGCCCAGACTAGCAGTAACCTATCACACCTCGCCGGGCCAAAAGATCGCAACACTGGACTTTCTGGCTGGGAGTGCCAGCCAACCATAAAACAGGCAACATGCCAACACAACCACAACGTGACAACATAACCAACAACGGCTTCAATCAAGCAAAAAGAAAAAAAACAAACACCATACACACAACGCTAGCCTAAGCTACGTGTAACTTGTAAAACTGTGGATCTAATTCGCCCCCCCTCTACACCGTTAGATTCTAGAAGTTACGCGTGGACTCGACTGCGTTTAAGAAACGAAGTCATAAATAGGTCAGTACTGCTCGGCGACATCGCCTCATGTCACCGCTGAGATTATACGACCCACCGCGACAAATACTTGCGTATCCTGTTCCTATCATCATCATCCCTATCGAACTCACAATAGGCTACCTTTTTTTAAAAGGAGGAATAAAAACGCTGCCACTTACTGCCACGGCGGTTCATCATGCGTACCCGGCCTCTTGGGCCGCTGTGTTTGATGGAACCGAGCAACCCCGAATCGTTTGTGATTTCTTGCATCGATGGGTAGGCGGGTGTCACAACACTCTACACTACACGCCTTGCTGTGCTTGCTTACGAATCCGATCAGAACGCGACACAGTCGCAGTGAATAACACAACACGATGGGCTGAATACTTTCTCCAGTCGATGAATTCTTGCAAGTTTAGAGCAAATTTGATCGGTCAGGGTTAAAAAAACAATCCTCGATCAATACTGTCCGAGACTGCAATAGAATGTTTACTCGAGTGATCTCCAAAACATGACTTTTCAATGTCCTCGACAGACCTTGCGACCTGATTGGTTCGCTGAGTTCTCTACCTAGTTGTTTCATTCATGCTTTTTAGTGACTAAGCAAAGTCCTTCGCGTTGATTGGTCAACACGGGCTTATGAGTCATCACATTCTGGGGGATTCCCTGTAGGCTACCGCTGTAAGATCCGTGACTTGCAACCATTTTGCTCTGGGTCAGGCAATCACGTGTTGCCATCCAGCGTAAGAACACGTCATTTTGTTGGACGACACGCGCATCGAGAGCTTACAACAAGCGAATTTCAATAGAAGTACTCAACACAAATATCGAAACAATGAAGTCGTTTCGGTCCGACCGTAGCCACGATACAAAGTGCACTGAACGAACTAAAATCGGAGCTGTCGTTTTTACCCGCTCAACCGTTCTGGCTCTTCATCGGACGAACGTGAGGAGACACCCCACACACCCACCCCCTCCCCCCTTTTACATGACACCAGGTTACTAGTTACCGCCCCTTCCTTTTGAAAAGAAAAAGAAATTAAAAAAAAAAAGTAGGGAAAAGTTTTACTGATCATGAGTCTGTGTCTGCTACACTTGACCCACCAAGCAAAAGTGGACCTTGGAACCGCTCTTTGTCTTTAATTTTTCAGGGTTATGCAAGCCTGTACACAGGGCCATACACCATACTTCCTCTTGATTTGGGCTTTGCACACCTCTAGGATTTAGATCTAGGAATAATGCAATTTCATGAACAGATTTTAAGTTACTGCAGCAATTAGTTTTATTTCTATAATTAGAAAGGACCAAGTTTTGTCTGAGCTGACATCATCATGAGTAAAAGAAAAACAAGTTTTTCCCCTCCGCCTCAGTCAAAATCCAATAAAAGAAAGTTATAAAAAAACAGGTGCCCTCCGACCTCTGAACAGAGAGAAGCTAATCAGATTTCATGCGCATCCTTGCTGCCGTCAAAGCGATCACAATAGCGGATGTAAGTGCAAAAATTGTTTTGGAGCATAAAAATACCCCCCCCCCCCCCTCACACACACACACAATGTAGAAAAAGAATTGAATGCATCAGTCCAGTCAAAATTTGAGGGCAAAACTTAATCCACGACAGCTCTTAACATTTAAGCCTAATAAGCATTTAAAAATTAACAACTCAAGGTGCCAGAAGACACTGTTTGATAATGAATGAACACACCAAATAGACACGTTTGACTAAAAAAGTTAGAATTTGATTGATTGCCAAAGATATAACAACCCCTACTGACTGGGATCAATGCAAATTCAATCCCTGAGATTTGAAGAACTACTTATTAAATCACTTGTGATGTATTCATGAAACATGAAAAAACCCAACAAATACAACATATTATTTTAGAGTTAGAGGTTTAACATAGAATAGCACCCGATAACGAGCTACAATTTTCATCCCCCCACCCCCAAAGTCCATTTTCACACCAATTTTACAAATCAAGCACAATAAATCTTCTTTTACAGCCTGACTCTCCAATTTTATGGACTTTTCAGTCAAAGATTGATGTCATGTTAATCTACAAATATATACTATTACGATTAGGTTTTAGCACCAGTAAGCCCTTATTTTTTCATTTATTTAAGGGAAGGGAAGGGAAGGGTTGTGTATCTAGTTATTATAGGAAGGCCTACTTTAATCAGGAATAAAATAACTACTTCTAAGAGAAGAAGAGGGTAGAAGCCTTACTTTATGGTTTATTATCCAGAATTTTCATTTCAGATTGAAAGTGAATTTGGAGCGCTTTAAGTTCAATGTAAGTTAATAATTTGTTACAATAATATCACTAGATCTAGATCTTTTCCTTCTGATCATGCACAAATAAGGAAAATTTGATTCATCCAAATAAGTACCAAGATTACTTTTCATTCAATTTTTTAATTTTACATTTTAAATTTAACTTGGAAGCCAATCTTGTAATCTAAAATTGGGCAATTTTAATCTTTAATTACAATCTAATTGATCGAGAAATGGGTGGTTGCAGTTGCAGTAGATTCTCTTGGTCCATTACTTTCGGTCTCAGTTCAGCTTGTATCAAAGCAGTAGAGTGAGAGCAACTGATGATTTTTTGTCTGTGTGCAAAGTTTGGGGTAAAATCTAGATCTAGATTTTGTACTGGACTTCAACTTGGCCGCAACTACAAAAGACAATCTCGGAACAAAAGGCGGTCTTGAAGAATCTAGATCTAGATCTAGATCTAGATCTAGATCTAGATCTAGATTAGGCTAGTAGAGTAAAAGAGACCTCAAAAAGAAAGAAACTCAGAGTAGATCTCTAGAATCTAGAGAGACAAGAGTCAGAGATGTCAAGATTTTGATTCAGGGGGTTAGTTAGGTCGCTGAGAACGACAGATATACAGCCACAAAAGCAAAATCATTTGATTCCATAAACTTTGAAGGAGCATAAAGTTCGAGATCGACTTTCTAACTCAGAACCACAACTCTCTGCTCTGAACTTTTGAGGACATCATTTCGTTATGTCAGATCGACGAAGCAAGGGACATAAACCACTTAATTCTCACTGCTAGGGAGGAAAATGGGACAAAATTTGACCCCATTTCTACTTTTTGCTTTCTGCATCTGCTACAACTTGCAAACTGAATGCAATGCAACTCCCACGCTTTCAATTCTGCTAAAAAGAATGCATACCGCACGTGTAAGCAATTTTACAGCAAAAACACCATTGACACACACTATAACATTCAGAAGTAACTTACGTCGATGCATTTTTCCTTCTCAGATAATGGCCACCTGTAGAGTTGCAGAATCACCGTACCGGTTGCAGAATTAAAGCGTCCTTTTCTGAAAAAAACTGAGCTGCAATGATAAGATATCAGCACTTTTCCAACTCAACACTTATTATTCTAACTGCAGCAGCTCCAATCACACTCGAACAATCATGCACAAGAGATATTTTGCACCTCAAAGTCTCCATCCGAGGCGACAAAGCACACAGCGTTCATGTCGCTGACCCGACTGAGGGAAAGCCCTTGTGACGTCAGTAGACATAGTGCACTGTGCACACGAAGTCTCCTCCCTTTTTTTCCCCCTGACATCGAACCACTCGACAAAACTCGTTCTTTGATAAAGTCAAGCAATGTTTAGCGTAATTTCCCTTGTCACTTATCTTAATTATTTCTTGTACAGCAGACGTTTGAAAATTATCTGAATAAAAGAATAGTTTTGACTTAGCTCTTAGCCTATATAACGACTTTGGCTTTGGCAGTGCAACAACAAAATAACAAAAGCAGTCACGTTATGTTCATTTCAGGGAAAAGTTTAACAAACTTTACTTACTTCTTTTAAAAAAGCTTTCCTTAAAGTATAAGAACTTAAACTATTGAAGTTAGAGTAATTTTTACCTATTCAAAACTCATTTCATGTCCTTGGGGTCATAGGCCGTAGTTTTGAATATTAATTTTGACGATTAGAATTGTTGGCAAAATCTGGCCTACAGAAAACCGTCGACAAGGTCTGTGTGTGATCTGTGATCATGTGACAAATGATAAAATGGCGGAAGCTAAACAGAGTCTAGAGACAAAACGTCGAAGATGTAAACAATAAAGACGGGTATAATTATTTGTCTTGGATAGTTTGCTTTTTACATTATCGCCAAGTGAGTCGAAAATAGACGTTTTGAAAGGCTACACTTATTGGATCAACATGGAAGGGGATGGTTCCCAGGAGAAATATGAAAAAATTTGGTTGTCTAACTTCTTTCACTCGTTTCCGCACTGGAATTTCGCGTTTAGCACTGTGAACTCGACTTTCGATCCTGAAAGTGATGATTACAGAGAGGTGAGTCAAATGTGTTGCGTCGTGAAATTTATTTTTGATGACTAGGACTATCTTATTTATTTATTGTATAGTAGAGGAGGGTGGGGATTAAAATAAAAACACTTAGCACATCATTATCATATATTTCATTCGTTCTTGCTTCTGCTACGCTACACTTACACTCCTACTCTTGGCACCCCTCCCTCCTCTCTTGTCCTGGCTTGTCGCCTTGGCTATGAGCTATTGTGTAGATTGTTGAATGTGTTGTAGTGAAGTTCATTGTAGTTTGATTATAAAATTCTTTGCAGCACCTGCACGATGTGTTACGATTCTCTGGTTTACTACTTACTTGGTTTAAAAGGGAGGACTTCCGTAACGAGCGACCACAATGAGACATGACATAGAGTCAAGAGGGGTAGGGGTAGATCTAGGGGTATGGAAAGGGTTTGGGTTAAGGTTATGGTTAGATCTAGGTCTCTTTTTTATTGTGTTTGTTGGGGTGGTCGCTCGTTACGGAAGTCCGTTTAAAATTAATGTAAAAAAAATTCTGCTTTTTTGTTTCAGGCTGCAGGACTGTGGGGTCTTGTGCCGATAGCTGTTTGTTTCATGCTGTGGCTGGTCTTTCTGATCTACTTTGTTTTTCGCTGCTGCCAAAGTCAAGCTCAAGCGAAGCCACGCCCATCGGCATGTCCCAGCGTCTTTACGGGAATCTGCATTTTGATTGTCGTGTAAGTTTTCATCATCTCAACATATGGGGCAAATGCAGCCTGTGTGTACTAGATCTATACGAAAGTTTATTAGCGTGCATACGTCATGATCTAAAAAAATGTTTTCTTTTCCATGGTCTTTAAAACAATATTTTGATTGTCATGTGCTGTCAGTTGAGTTTCAGTTGCTATTTATACATGAAGCAAATTTTTCTGTGTGTATGGCAACCGATATAATTAATTAATCCCAATATGGACTTACAGTGTTTGCTGTTTTTGCTTACTCTGTCATGCAGAAGATCCAAATTCAATTGATGGGGATTGAATGTTTATAATAAGTTCATGCATACTATTTGTCCATAGTTATATCACTATGGTTGTAAATTTTCTCCATGAATTTATGATCAGAAAAATGGTAAACAAGACGAAACTGCTTGCCCTATTTGTGATCTGAGTACCTTATACATATATGTATCTGTTTTGTTTCCATCTTTGTTGTTTTAGTGGCCTTCTCGGCTTTGGCTTTTACGAAAATGAGAAAGCTCACAGAGGAGTACAGAACTGTAGGCGGGCGGTGATTGACGCAAATACGACAATTTCTCTTGCCTCTAACAGAGTACGTATGACTTTTGTGGATTGTACTTGCTTTATACATATGTTTGTGTGCTATTCCATGCAGTTGGTTCATATACTCATCTAATGCCACTGAAACTATTGTGTAAAGAACATATATGAATTGCAAGCATCATTTTTCTTCTTTCCTATCAAACGTCTATCGTCTTTATCTCCCCTCCTTCTTTTTTGTGTTTGTCACTCTCTTGTAACACCTCTAATCTTCGGCACTTATATGACCTTATTTTGTTGCCAGTGCTGTAAAACTCTTACTTAAACTTCCATTTGCATCATGTCTTGAAATCGCCATCTCAGAACTACTCAGTTCTATTTGACATTTTTGGCTGGTTTGAGTAACTAAGACCATGAGGTCAGAAACCAAATGTTCTATCTGCTCTCTCCAAATCGTAAGATTATTAGTGAGTCGTTATCAAGATATTCAAAGAAATGCTCTTAAAAAAAGCTTGACAAGGTGTGAAAATCAATATCTTTGACGTCGAATTTCTCAAAACTAGGTGCTAAGCAGATAGAACTTTGCAATTCTGAGGTAGCGAAATGTCAAACCAATCTGCGTGGTATTTTTGCCACAATCAGAATTCCAGGTGTGCCTGTGTCCAAGAGTTGCCTGTTACACCTTGCCCTGAAAAGAAAATCCATTTTTCTCCAGATATGAATGTGGACCATGTCCCTTCTAGCCCTTAACTGATGATTTGAGTGAACCAAGTTTGTAATGAATTCTGTCAAATTTTGTGTTTCTTAAATCTTTAGGTTCAGTCGTTGGACGACATAGCTGAAGAGATATCTACCAAAGTGTCCGATGACCTTGAGAAGGCAGTGTCTCAGCTCAACTCCACGGCTCTGGCCAAGGCGATAAAGTTGATAAATCACATCCGCACCGAGGCAACAAGTGTGCGGGGGTACGTCGACAAAATCAACATTGAGGACGAACAAGGTGGTTTAGATGATGGCATCAAGCTGTCCGGAGACATTGAGTACTACAGGTACTTTTTTTTCTTTAAAAAATTTTTCTTTTTAGGGCAGTGTTTTATGTCGCTCGCAACTGCATTAGGTCATACGAGCGCGCTGGACGCATTGAACATTTTCAGTATGTAGGAAATTTTGAATTTGCCTGGGTGGCAGCCGAAGCCTACTCTTATTGATTTTAGACCGCCAAGGGATCTTTAATGTGAGCAAATTGCCCACGAGCCCTCCGAGATTTTTCGCCCTTGTCCGAGAAGGCTAGGTGGAGATCTTTCCTATCAGAAGATCAGGGGTGTGGCTCAAAGACAGATGTAAGGAGGAGCCAAGGAGTAGCAGCAGAAAAGCTGCTGAAAGAGTCAGGAGCCCAGAGGAGGTGGCAAAGGAGGTGAGGGGGTGGGGGCAGAAAGAGGAGACGAAAGCAGACAACAGAACATTGTTGGAGAGCAGGAAAGGAGGTGAAAGGAGACAATTTTAGAGAAGAAAATTTTTCGGTCGCAACTCGGATTCGAACCCGGGACCTTTGAATGAGAGGCTCTTAAATCTTAAGCTCTAGGTTACTAAAGCCCCCACAGGTATTTTGTTGATTTGTATAAAAGCTGACATTGTTCATGTGGGCTCTTGTGATCTGGACGTTAAGGTGTTCGCTTCTCATTCAATAGGTCCCGGTTGGAATCCGGATAACGACGGAAAATTTTCTTCTCTAAAATTGTCTCCTTTCACATCCATTCCCGCTCTCTAACAATGTTCTGCCGTCTGCTTTCGTTTCCTCTTTCTGCTCCCGCCCCCTCACCTCTTTTGCCCCCTCCTCTGGGTGCCTGACTTTTTCTGCCGCCTTTCTACTGCTACTCCGTGGCTCCTTCTTACTGAGTTGCAAGTGCTGTAAAACTTATTAAAACTAAAACATTTTCTCTTGGTGATGTTTATACAAAGGAGCTCTGATGTATGTACACATTTTTATACTAGGGTTATTCACCAATGGAATTTGTGATGAAAAATGTCAAAAATGGGATTATTATGTTTAGTTTGATACATTTCCTTTTATGAAAAGGTGCATTTGTATGATTTCCCTTGCTTATTTTTCAGTCTTTTTCTCTGGCAAAACCTGTGGTAGAATTTGTCAAAGATTTTAGGTGGGTGGTTTGAGGGTGCTCTGGTGTGGTTTGCTCCTTCTTTCCTTTTAAACATCTATCGTCTTTATCTCCCCTCCTTCTATTTTATGTTTGTTACTCTCTTGTAACACCTCTAATCTTCGGCGCTTATATGACCTAATTGTGTTGCAAGTGCCGTAAAACACTTGCTAAAAAAAAATAATTTTAGAATGTTGTATAAATTATGATGGTTTTCTACACGCTATTTGCTGATTTTGCCTGACTTTCTTTTTGTTTCAGATGGATGGTGAACATCTTGGTTTACTGCCTGTACATCTTCCTACTCTTGCTGGCCTTTATCGGGCTGTTGATCAAGTCAAAGGCTTTGCTCATAGTGTGAGTTGTTGTTGCTGTTGTTGTTGTTAAATCACATGGAGTTATTGTTGTTGTTGTGTGTGTGTGTGGTAGCCTATCCGTTCGAAATGTTTGGAGCCCCGAAGAGCGCGCTCTTTGCCAGGGCCACCGCCTCCCTTGGGTAGCGGGTGAGGCAGTCCAACCTCCCTGAATCCTCCCCGAAGAGATGCCACCACCGGATGTTGTTGCTGTTGTTGTTAAATCACATGGAGTTATTGATGTTGTTGTTGAGCTGCTGTTGTTGTTAAATCACATGGAGTTATTGTTTTTGCTGTTGTTGTTGTTATTAATCCAGCAATAGCTTGGCTCTCGCCCTTCTGTACAATGCCATGTAGGGATGAGAGAGGTGTACTGCAGTTACTGAGATGTTCCATAGAGTGTGTTGTCAATGTTGGGTCTCAAACTGAGCTGATTACTAAGGTAAACTGAGAGTCTGTAACACCAAGTACTCAGGCTATAAAGAAGAGGTAGACCACCCAAAAGGCGGATTGAGGGAGTCAAGGGAACCCTGAGAAATTTTCATATTCCGATTGAAAGAGCTGCAGAGCTGGCCTACCATAGAAAACTGCATCTGCTCCCTTCAACGCTTAATGTCAACAGAGGATGAAGAAGTAAAAAGTAAAAGTAATGAGGTAAAATGCCACTTCAAGCAAAGAAATGTGCCACAAATGATCATCACCAATCCTACAATGTGTCTGAAATGAAATTAGATTTTCATAGAAATTCAGACCTTTTGTTACTTTTGTTTGTAATTAAGTGTTGTTTAAAATTTGATAGCTAGGGTATATCTCTGTTGCTTTAAATATTCATGATACACAAGAAAAGATGTAAGAAATTTTTTCAATTTATGTCGACAGGTCTGCAGCGCTGGCAGTTATTTTTTCCTTGTTCATCTGGATCACCACCGGTGTTTACCTCTCCTTCTCTGTGGTGAGTTGGGTGTTTTTTACACGGTCTTGTGTATATTGGAATTTCTTTTTTTGTTAAATTTGAAATGTCTTGCGATGTGTTTTTTAAATTTTTTTCCGGAGAGCAGTAATCATTTGTTCATCCAGTCTTCCTCGAGGTTTGACTTGATCATTTTGGCAGCAGCTGATTGTCATTTCAAATGGGTTTTTTCTATTAGTACTCTTGTCAGTGGAGTCTTGAGCAGGTGTGGTATGGATACTAGTCTTGTTATACTATTTGTAACTTCTCTTCCTCCTTGGATGTTAAAGGTCATCATCATTGTATCAATTATTATTATTATTATTATTATTATTATTATTATTATTATTATTATCATCTTCATCATCATTGTCATCATCATCATCATCATTGTAGACTGCAAAAAGACAAAAAAAAGGTGGAGACTTGTAAAATTAAAAAGAAATTTTATATGTTCCACATTTCACTGTCTTATGGCTTCGTCAGGAACATTTCGTCATCCTCATCCTCCTCCTCATGATCATCATGATCATCGTCATGATCATCATCATCATCTTTGTTTGAAAAGCAGAGTAGGAGGGAGAGTCTTGTTTGAATTTCGGACAAAATAACATAACAATATAAAATGTTTCGAATTTGTTTAATAGACACAGCTCAACGTTTCGCCTCTTGGGCTTCCTCAGGAGCAACCAAGAGAAAAACTAAATGTGCGCTGTATACTAGCATGGAAATGGGCCTAGCAAAGGAGGGTCTTAAGATTACGTGTGGTTACAGGCTAGACGGAAGTGACTCAGTGTGAGCCAGGCCAAGGGGCTAATTATAAAGAAATTGATCATTGTATACAGCAGATAGTAAAACGGTTAAGACTTGGTAGTATTTCCAAAATATTTAATGACACGTTCAACGTTTCACCCTCAACGGGCTTCATCAAGAACATTCAGAATATAAATGACTACACTAGCTATAGAAACCAAAGTGCGTACATCATCATCTTCATCATTACCATCATCATCGTCATCATCTTCGTCATCATCATCCTCATCATCATTATTACAATACTTTCAGGCACTGGGGGACCTCTGCCATGATCCCGACTCCTACTTCCTAAGTTTGGCCAAAGGTTCAGCCCAGGAAGGTAAAGTAGCTGTCATTGTCATGTAAAAGAACGCTTGACTGGTTAGCGGGTGCTCTGCTGTAGTTTGCTCCTTAAAAATTTTTTTCGTACCGATCAAACATCTATTGTCCTCGTCTCTCTCTTCCTTATTTTCTTTTTCTGTTAACCACTCTAATCTTTAGAATTTATATGACCTATTTACTAAAACTTACTAAAACTAATCGGAAAAAAACGCAATTGTCCTGTCCTCTGATTGGAAGTGTGGTTGTTATCATAAAGATTAAAGATTACTGAATGGTTCAATGTTTACAGTTTGGTTTCTTGTCCAGTTTTCCATCCTGTAGCAGCTATGAAAGTTGAGTAACAGTTTCATCATGTGTTAATATTAAACGCATTGTGAAAAGTCTATAAATAACTCAAAGATTACACAATACATTTCATATTTTTCCCCTGAATATGAACATAAATTTGAAAAACTGAATTTGGCTTCAGGTTCTCTACTTAGTCATCAATGCTTTTAAAAATTGTATTCAGAAATCTGTGGAAGGACAGTCAACTTGATGATTCAACAGAGAGTTGTCAGAACATCAATCACTTCACATTGTCACATGTTATATTATCATCGGTTCAGTTTCTGTCTTTAGAGAAATAATCAAATTTTGCAAGCTGAATTACTTCTGAATTGTGGTACTTGCGTAGTTCATCTAGGGAAAGCTGTTTGTTAGAAACCCAGGGGTGTTGATTTTCTGACTAAATTGAGAATGGGATTTCTGAAATTGTCTGGATTTTGTCCAACTTGTGCTTGTCATATATTGCTCTTGGTATATAAAAATAGTCTTGTTATAAGGTGCGTGAGACAATATGATCTGTAAATTTTGAGTCCCTTTTCACACATTTCCATGGGCTCAGAACAATTCAGGGTTTTTTTGGTAGCCCGTTGGTGCGTCTAGAAACTGTTTTAATGTTATTAAATGCATTCAGCCGTATGCATTTTGCTGAATAATTTTCGTCTGTTATTCATCAAATTACAGAGATAAAATCATGGCTTAGTTGGTTTGTGTGTCGAGAATTGTGTCGTCTCTCTGAACTTGTATTTTCCTGAACTTGTATTTTCTTTTTTTCTTGTTTCAGGAGCAATAAGGGCGTACATCTTGTGTGATGACCCGACCAAACCGTATCAAAACGTAAGTGGGAGAGAACTCATGGTGGTTTGTTTGAAGATAAGGCGGAAAAACTGTCGCGGACATAAAAATCAGTTGCACTGCGGGTTGAAAAACCAGTAGTCGCCTGCCTGCCCCTGAGATCTAGGAAGGGAGTGCAAAGAAGAAGAATGTGTGAAGCTAAGGGAGATACACAGAATTAGACTCGATTATGCTTGTACATTTTAACTTGTTTCTTGTTATTGTAATGATAATTCTTTCAAGAAGGATCGCTTGAGGCCCAACTCTCTTTCGCCAAGACTAGTGTAAATGGCAGCAGTCTAAAGTTTATTCAATGACACTATTTTGTTACTCTTTCTTTCCATGTGCACTTTCTTTGTCTTTGTTATGCTTTATAGCAACATCGTTTAAAGATTCAAAATGCATTTCTCTTGAGAGATGAAAGAAAATAAGTTTGAAATGCCCTACTTTTGCTTAAACATGTTTGAACTTTTTTGTTCAAGTTCAATGTCGGTACCCTGTGACAAAATATTCTGAGATAGAAACGTAGTTATTTTACTTAAGCTTCAGTTGTACTGCTTTTTTCTGCCCATTCTGTGAACTACTAACTAGAAAACAACTAACTTTGTCCTGCACACTCATGTGACTTTATGCAATTGTGAGCGCTGTAAAACTCTTACCAAACAAACGATTTTTCCACAGGAGATTCAAGATGCTCTAAACTCTGTGAGCCTTGCTGCCAAAGATCTCAATGATACAGTCAGGCTGGCCCAGCCTTTTCATATACCCGGGGTATGTATTAGTGTAGTACTCTGTGCTCAGGTTTTGTTCACTCATTCGATGAAATTATACCTACCTTCTTTGGGAGCCATTCTCCAAAAAGTTGGTAAAATTGAGGGAAAAAAAGCACCCAAAACCCTCCAAGTCATAGCGACAGCATGTTGAATGCAGGTATGATGCTGTTTTGTTATATTTTATGTTGCTGAAGCTATGGAAAGCACATTGTCAGTTTCATCAGATGGAGGATTGATGAGTTTTATCATATGTTTTTTTTATTAAATTGTGTTTTTTAAATTTTAAAGTGTAAAAAAAAAAGACTTCCAAGTTTTTGTGGTTATAAGACATGAACAGTTAAAGGTCTTAGACATTTTATTCCAACAATGACTAAATTTAGCATCGATTTATATCTGTTGTCTCTATTATCTCTCTTACATCTTTTTTGTTGTTGTTTGTTATTGTCTAGTGATACCTCTAATCTCCGGCACTTATATGACCTAAAAGTATTGCAAGTGCCATGAAACTCTTGCTAAAACTAAGACTATTAATAGTCCTTATCTTTCCCCCTTCTTCTTTTCTTTATATGTTACCTTCTAGGATCGTCTCTAATCTCCAGCACTTGGTGGATGGTTGGCGGGTGTTCTGGTGTGGTTTGCTCCTTCTTTCCTATCAAACATCTATCGTCTTTATCTCCCCTCCTTCTTTTTTTGTGTTTGTTACTCTCTTGTAACACCTCTAATCTTCTGGCGCTCATATGACCTTATGTAGTTGCGAGCACCGTAAAACCTCTACTAAAACTAAAACCAAATCTCAATCACTTATATAGTTAATAGTATTGTAAGTACGGTAAAACTCTTGACAAAAACTAAGTGTTTTATTTTTCTCTCCCGACGATCAACCAGCTGGAGGGTCCTGTGAAAGAGATGAGACAGAACCTGCAGTTTGCCACAGGGAACCTGTCCACGCTGCTCACCGACGTAGGCATGTGCTCGGCCCTTCACGACGACTACATAGACGCCCTTGACGCAGCCTGTATTAGTACTCTGTAAGTTGTTTTGCCGCGTTGGTGAAAGTTGCTTTGTCTATTTAATGTCATTTTGTGACATTTGTAAAGGGTTGTTTTGCAGCCTGTATAAGTACTTTGTAAGTTTTCTTGCCACATTGGTGAAAGTTGCTTTGTTTATTTAACACTTTGCAGTCACTGGCGCCGGTGAAAATGATCCGTTCCAGGGCCAGGCCCGAGAAGTTTGTTGCAGTCACTCTCTTGGCTTCGCCCCTGCAGGTGGGGGGGCCCCATAGTTTTACTATGGGGGAGTAAAGAATACACCTGTCGGGATACTGCGTGTCGTAAGAGGTGACTGAAGGTGCATAGGTCTGGCCCACCTGAAAAGCGACAGTTTGCTTAGGGCCAACTACCCGACCCAGTAAAAAAAGGAAAGTTATTGAAACACGAACAAACATGCCGTATAATTTTTCCATCTTGGGAGACGGAGGAGCTTCTGCATCAGCAGGAACAATGAAGACATGGAGTGACATTAAGCGACTAGCCCAAGATAGGGAAAGGTGGAGAGTGTTTGTTCGTGGCCTATATCCTGACCCAGGGTGAGAATGGCAATGATGATCACTCTCTTGGCTGGGTGACCAGATGGGGTATTTTTGTGTTGCTGGCTGTGTGACTGCAAAGTGTTAAGAAATTTTGCGACATTTGTAAAGGGTTGCTTTTTTTTGTAAGTTTTCTTGCAGCACACAATACAACATATCACTGTAATGGTAGAAAAGAAAAGTAACAGAGTTCCAGAGACAAAGGTATATCCCTCGAGAGATGAAGTTCCAAACATGAAAACTAGGATTTCCCCCAAAACTACCAAAATGGGTCTTTTCTCTGTGTAGTCTTCCTATTGTCAGCGTTGTACAACAATTGCCCAAGTCAGTTTTGGAGGGTTTCCTGATAAAGCCATCAAGAGACAACTTGCAATATTGTTTCATTTTGTTTCTTTATTTTCTTCATAGTTTTTTATGGAAAAAAAAAAGAATGCACAATTCATAGTTCTGATTTGGCATCTGTCCTCTTCTTTGATTTCTTTAAGCTAAAAATGACTTTTGTGATTGTGGAATGATACTGACAATATGGTCATGTCCAATGCAGCACCCGCGTTTCATTTTTTTGGGGGTCTTTGTTTGTCTCCCCCCAGTTCCACGAAATCATTCCTGGCTTTGTGGGTAGTTGACGGGTGCTTAGGTGTGGTGTGCTTCTTCTTTCCTATCAAACATCTATCATCCTTATCTCTCCTCCTTTTTTTTAAGTGTTTTTACTCTTTTGTGTAACACCTCTAATCTTCGGCACTTATATGACCTTATTGTGTTGCAAGTGCCGTAAAACACTAACTAGTGGGTGGTTGGCGGGTGCTCTGGTGTGGTTTGCTCCTACTTTCCCATCGAACATCTATCATCCTTATCTCCCCTTCTTCTTTTTTATGTTTGTTACTCTCTTGTAGCACGTCTAAACTTCTGGCGCTCTCATGACCTTATGCAGTTGTGAGCGGCGTAAAACTCTTACTAAAACTAAAAACACTTACTAATAAAATAATTCTTGGCTTTGATCATTGTCTTTGTTTCCCCCTCCCCCCAGGTCAGCGAGTGCGTTCCTGGCCCTGATCAGCTGTGTGGTGGCCATTGCCTGCACCGTCATCATCTTCACCTTGTCCTGTGCCTGGAGACAGTACGTCAAGATCAAGTGAGTAGCGACGGGAATGGGGGGGGGGGGGGGGGGTTGTGTTGGAGGTGGGAGTGGTTAAGCCTTTACTCTTTCTCATCTATTATATATTTGGCAACTTGGAAACACATGTGTTTTTTCACTTTCCCGATAAAACTACGACAGCTTCAGAGTTGAAAGTTGGCAAGTACCTGCAAAAAGATAGGTCCCCATGACGGAGCCCGATTTTTGATTTATTCATTTCCTGAATTTAGAAAAATGCATTTGACAAAAAGTTCTTGTCCTTCTTTGGCCTTTGTGATTATTCCACTGAGAAACTAAACAAATCTGCGTAGCTGTCCTCCACAGCGGAAAAGCCGGAAGTGATGTTTTGCGATGCGCATTTTGTTTTCAAAGTATAGATCTAGACCTAATTTTTTTCATCTCTCAAGATTTATTGCTCCTTTCCAGTGTTTACTTGATTAAACTGATCTTTAAAAGGCTTGCAGTGTAATTTTTCTTTTCATTCGAGACAGTCTTGTGTTGGGTAGTGCCGGGGATAGCTAGCTTAGCGTGAGAAAAGAGACACACATTGACACAATGATAGTCGTTTAGTGCAGGAAAAGAGCAAGATTTGTTTATCATCACTGTCGCAAAAATAAGAATAATTAGTGACTCTAATGCGCTTTTTTTTCAGCGTTTAGATTTTGAATTTCTACAAAATATTTTTGGAGCACATAAATGGATAATACAGATTTAAAAACTTAAATTTAAAAAAAAGGATAAAAATTTTGGGCTTAGTACAAAAGAACAGCTGGCAAGAGTACTATTTATTTCTCACGGTTAACTTTGGATCTCGTAAAAAAAAACAACGAAACAGTGCAACCCCCTCAAAAGCAATGGCAAACCCCCCCCCCCCAAACCCCAAAAAAAAAACCCAACCCCAAATCCAAACGAACTAGGTTTCTGAGTAGCGACTGATGTACTTCCTGTCTGCCATGGCAGAAACAACGTCCATCCTTGTGCTGCTGTAGCAGAAGTGACCGACGGTCCTCTGTTGGACCACAAACAATCTCCACCCAGCTGGTCGCTGGTTTCACAGACCCTAGCCCGCAAGGAGCCGCAGGCTTCTTGAAATGAATTCCCATAGAGTATGATGCCTTCGAAAATGTTCGCCGGATGACGTATATCCGCTTTCGTATGGTCGCTTTTAAGGACAAATGGGCTAACCGAGATTTTGGGGGTTTCCAGAAATCTTGACCTACACCAAAAGTGGGCATTGTCCTACTATAGGAGAAGGTTGGTTTCATTGGTGTGTATATTTGTTTGGTTACAGAGACAACTCTCCTTGTCTTTTAAAGAAACTGGACATAGGGCAAAAACTTTAACTTCGATTTTCTCAAAACAGCATTTTTTGGGATAGCCCCGTTGTGCTTAAAAGCGACCATATATTGGCTTTCGCATGTTGGTTTAGTTGAATTTAGTGGATAATTTTGTTTTTGTTGTTGAAGTTTGAGATGCAGACAGTGCAGGATATTTCAGATACAGAGCTTTTATTTATATTATAGGACATGGGGCATACACATTCAGTATGACTTTGAAAATGTTTCCTGGCTGCTGTATCTGGTTTCTTATGTTGGTTCAGTTGAATAATTTTGTTTTTTTGTTTTAAAGTTTGATACAGATAGAACATGTTGCTTTGAATGCAGGGGCATTCACGTAGACTACGTAGAGTAGGTCTTCAGAAACCGTATATGGCAAATCCACTTTCTTACGTTGGTTCAGTTGAGCTTAGTTTACAGTTATGTTTTTGTTGAAGTTTGGTACAGACATAAAAGGATATTTCAAGGGCAGGGTTCTTTAGGACATGGAGTTGATAGGACATCATCCCTGGAGATTTATTCTTTTCGGTCACTTGGCGAAATAATGTGCCGGTGAAAACGATCCGTTCCGGTCACTTGGCGCAGTTCTGCGCCAGGCCCGAGAAGTCTGTTGCAGTCGCTCTCCTGGCTGGGTGACCAGATGGGGCATTTTGTACTGCTGACTGTGTGACTGCAAAGTGCTAAAAAGAGTTCACTCTCTTCCAGATTTGAACCCTTAACTTTTGTATGTTAGTTATGTTGTCACTCATTCTGCACCAAATCACTGGCATCTGTGGTAGTGGGTGGTTGGCGGGTGATCTGGTGTGGTTTGCTGCTTCTTCTTTCCTATCAAACATCTATCTTTCTTATCTCTCCTCCTCCTTTTTTGTGTATGTTACTCTCTTGTAACACATCTATTCTTCAGCACTTATATGACCTTATTGTGTTGCAGGTGCCGTAAAACCTCTACTAAAACTAGACAGTCATTGTTCTCCATTCATTCCCTTGCTCTGACACTCTCAAAAAAGCTACATTATCTTGATTGTCACCCCCCCCCCCCCCCCCCCCCCCCTCCACACACACACACACACGCGCGCGCGCACACACACATTTTAAAAGAAAAGAAATGAAAAAATCTGATTTTTAATTCCCCTTCAGCGTCCGGGCGGAGTACGTGCCTGTAGATGACTCGGACCCGTTCTTGCCCCGCCCTCCTCTGTACGAGTCGGACTACGGGACCATGGGACACTCCACGCCCCGGCCCTGGTCAGAGAGGGGCACCCTTCAGCACGGGTAGGTAGAGTGTATAATATTGAGTGAGTGGTTAGTGGGTGCTCTGATGTGGGTTTTATTATTTTTTTTTCTTCTTCTTTTTTTTGTTGTCAAACATGTTTTTGTCCTTTTCTCTTGCTTTTTCTTTCCTATCAAACATCTATCGTCTTTATCTCCCCTCCTTTTTTTTGTGTTTGTTACTGTCTTGTAACAACTCTAATCTTCGGCACTTATATTACCTTATTGTGTTGCAAGTGCCATAAAACACTTACTAAAACTAAACCTTATCTCTCGTTCTTCATTTCTTAGGATGTTTATTCCCTAGCAATAATACCTCTAATCTTTGGCACTTACATGGCCTATTACAATGTCGTATGTGCCAAAAAGCTCTCACTAAGACTTGCCTAATTTCAATAGTTTGTTCTGAAGATTTCTTAATTTCACAGCCACTTTTATTTTCCCATTTTAGGAATACTTTGCTCCTTCTTTCCTATCAAACATCTATCGTCCTTATCTCCCCTTCTTCTTTTTAATGTTTGTTACTCTCTTGTAACACCTCCAATCCTCTGGCGCTCATATGACCTTATGCAGTTGCGAGCGCCGTAAAACGTCAAATTTAAAAAAAAAGGAATACTGTTGAAATTGTCAAGGATGGCCTGTTCCAGACCTGACCCCTGAAGAAGAAGAAGAACAGTCTTTGTGTAAAAGTAACTGCAGAGAAGGAGAAAAGAAAAGTGAATTTCTCGGCTAAAAGAATTCACTTCTGACTTATTAACCCTATTTGTATGCCCTGGGGTCATTTTGTACCCCCGGGGTTGCATTCTTCATATTTTAGAATACTTCTAGTACGAAGTTCTCTTTGAAGCTTTCAGTACTTCTAAAAAAATCATTTTGACAGACTGCTGTGCAAAGCGTACGGATTGGATTAACGAGTAAATTTCCTCTTTGGAAAGTGGTGGCACAGAGTTCCCCACGTCGTATGGATATGATAGTAAAACACGACGTACGGATAGGGTTAAGTGGTGGCAAGAGTTCCCCACATCGTATGGATACGATAGTAAAACACGACGTACGGATAGGGTTAAGTGGTGACACAGATTTCCCCACGTTGTATGGACACGATAGTAAAACACGGCGTACGGGTAGGATTAAAGAACTCCAGAGACGTACACAGTTTATCGATAGGGTTTCCTTTTCCTTTTTTTCCCTCCAGCAACATGAACGCGGCCGACGACCAAGTCCTCATGATGACTCACCAGCACCCGCTGCCCATTGATGAGTCTCCCCCACCCGCTGTGAGTAGACTGCTTTTTTTCCAGATTTTGCTGGTTTTTCCGGTCTTATTTACGAGTTCTTCTTCTTCTTTTTCCTTGTTCTTCCTTCTTCCTCGTTCTCGATGACAGCAGCTAGACAGTCAGTCCGATGTCGTGCACAAACTGTGCAGTCCGCTTCAAATCTGAGAGACTGCCATAGAGATTTCTCTCAAAGGGGAGTCACATTCTGCCATTTCTTATTTACCAGTGATTTATGTTATCTTTCAGCGGTTCTTTGTTCCAGATTGGGCAGCTTTTTCCTGTCCTATTTTGTGGGGATACTCAGTTGGAGTTGGACCTCGATGTTTTCTTTTGACAGATGTTTGTTTCATTGGTTTGTGGTGGGGTTTTTACTTTCTACTTCTTTCTCAGTGTTTCTGCTGTCCCGTTTTTTCTTCCTAGTGAAGTGATCCTTTTTTTCCTTTTTGTCTCGTTAGACGTTTTCTGTAGTTTCAGATTATTTATGGTGACATCAATTTTGTCGATGGGAATTGTGCTTAATATGAAAGTGATGATAGCGGGGGGTTGGCGGGTGCTCTGGTGTGGTTTGCTCCTTCTTTCCTATCAAATATCTGTCGTCCTTTTCTCCCTTCCTACTATTTTGTGTTTGTTACTCTCTAGTAAAACCATTAATCTTCAGCACTTATATGACCGTATTGTTTTGAAAGTGCCACAAAACTCTTACTAAAACTAAAAAAGTGATGATTTGTGAATTGAAATTAATTTATCTCTGTCCTGAAGATTTCCCTGTAGGCCAGTAGTTTTTATTATTATTTGGACTACTCCCCCTTGAACACACACACATACGCACTCCCAGACACACACAGTTCACCCACACACACACACACACACGCCCACACACACACACACACCCACACACGCCCACACACACACCGACACACCCACACACGCCCACACCCACACACACCCACACACACCCACTCACACACACATACACACACACACACACACACACACACACACACACACACACACTCACACACACACACACACACACACACACACACACACACACACACACTATATGGGTGTGTTTATGTGGTATAACTCAATTTTAGAACATTTATAATGTTGAATTTTTAAATTTCTTTTTGAACATTGTATTTGAAATTGTATAGTGGGCCTGCCGAAAAAAAAAGAGTCTAACAATTTTACGATTGATTAAATCTTTCCTATCAAACATCTATCGTCCTTATCTCCCCTTCTTCTTTTTTTTAATGTTTGTTACTCTCTTGTAACACCTCTAACCTTCTGTCGCTCACATGACCTTATGCAGTTGCGAGCGCCGTGAAACCTCTACTATAACTAAAGATTAAATTTTAACGTTACATTTTTTTCTGCTTCTGGCACAGTATTACCCTGGCAAGTACATTCGACAATACGCTGACTCGGCACCGTCTCCCGGCAGTGTGCGCCACCACCCTGGTCACTAGGCGGCTGTTGATTGGTCATCCAAGATGATCCGTTTGACAATTATGGAAGGATCTTATTATTTATTTAAAAAAAATTTTTTTTTTAAAAACAAAAATACTGTACTAGTATTTTGCTGGGGGGTTTTTGTTTTTGTTTTTTGTTTTTTAAAATTAATTGGTTTTATTATATTTTTTATTCTTTCTTTATTTAGAAGTTTTTGAATGAAATCCCCCCCCCATCTTGATTTAGTTCTGTATTGAGTGAATATTGTGTGCTTTAGTGAAGAAATTCACTTTTGTTTTTTGTTTTTTCTTTCTTTACTTATTTCTTTAAAGTCTGTTGTGCCTCATTTATTTAGCCCTTTTCTTTCACTCCAGTCTCGTAGCTTTAATGATTTTCATCGGACTAGATTGATGTTTGTTCTTAGTTAGAAGGGGACAAGAAAGTTTTCTTCATTTGCGTTTTTAGCGAACAGCTTGGAGGTAGTTCTATTTTTAGTTTGTTTCGTGATACGAATTATTGTTACCCCCCCTTATTGTGACAACTTTCAGGAATCTATTATCTGCGTTTTTTGTATCTATTCAAGCTACTATACAGGTTATCACAGAGTAAAGATCTACTAAATCCATGTGGAGGCGCTTTCTAACCAAATATTTTGTTTGCGTTAATTGCAATATGTATTAAATTAAGGGTATTTCCAAAGAATTTTTTTTTTTTTTCAAAATTTTTTTGGGGAGTGTCTCAGTAAACAGGAGCATTTGAATATTTTCTCCTTGCTTTTTATTTGCCATAATATACCTTGAGATTATTGCAGATGGAATATATGTCTGACAAAGTTGTGTGCGAAAGTGTGCTTCGTTCTGAGGGAAGAAATGTCTGCTGTAGTTCTTGAAAGTTGTGCGAGTTTTGAAAGTTTAAAAAAATATTTCTTGAGAGAAAATGCCAGTGTTCTTTTGTACTGTTACATTGTCTGTAGTAACATGACATACGTGAAGCATCGTGGCGAAATCAGGCGCTCGTCAAAATGGTGAAATCGAAGAAAAAGGCATTTTTCCACCGGTTTTGGCAATTTTCTTTGAAATTTTGTATTTTGGCTAAACATCTTTTACATTCACATGAAAAGACACATGTGAAATTTACTGAAAAACCTTAATATATAATTTTCAGTTTTAAAGGACTCTGAAGCTACCGATGTTACGAAACTTTGGCTGCCATTTTCTCCTTAATTTGACCACTGAAACCAGGCTACCCCACCTTATTCAATCACAAATATCTCAACTTTTATTCAAGCTAGATGGATATTTTTTCACAGAAAGCAAGGCAAATGAATAAGCTTTCAGATTTCAATAACTCCACTTATGCAAAAATTGACGAGCGCCTGATTACACCACGTTGTGAAACATGCATGTTTTTATTTTTTTATTTTTAGACAATGGAGATAGACACAGTGCCTTAAACTACTTTTCTTTGAAAAGTAAGATTTGTGTTAGTTCAGTCAACTACATATTATTATATTTTGACCCGTCTTTTTTTTTCCTGCCTTCGTTTATTTCTTGTATGACATAAAGTTGCACAATGTCAAAGGAACACGCACACACACACACA